GGGTATCCCAGACACTATGGTACCTTCAGTTCTCAAAATGCAGTATATGTCAAAAAGAAATTGCCTTTGCATCATAGCCTATCTCAACACCTTGAAATTGGCCTCTGTCTCTTTAAGAACCTCCTACCACTTCTTGCTTGCTTTGAGGGAGGGGCGCTCAGTGGGGCAGGAGATCAGCTGCAGACTGAGCTCCAGGGAGGAGATTTGTWTAAATAGGCAGAGCTTTGTACAGATATTTCTCAAACGTGCATGAATGAATCAAAGCAACACTCWGGGTATGTTTTTGAGGGAATGATATTATAACATGATTTAAAGCTCAAGAAAGTTAATTTAAGTTTTTTGTTTATTCTCACCTGACTCTGTGCATATCACGAAGAGGTTCCCTGTGAGTGCGTCCCCTGTTGGGCCGCGGTAGGGTGCGGCGGTTGGCAGTGGAGTAGTCGGGTTCCAACTCATACGGCTCTTCATCTTCAGGGCCCAAACTACGTCGATCATCCTCTAAGCCYTACGGCTCTGGCTGGAAGCGCTCTGGTTGTGAGCGGTTTAGATCCACAGTGCTGCTCCCCATTGGCACCTGAGGCTGTGCCACGTGACCATAGTCATCCTTACGAATAGGCAGTGTGTAGCTGTTCTCTGGCCGGTAACTGTTGGGCATGTAGGGATAGCGCGGTGGCCGGAAATTGACCCCACGAGACAGGCTACCATAGTTGTCCGTCAAATCAGCATATCCATCGTGCAAGCCATAGTGGCGAATATATTGGCTCTCCGGTGTCTCGCCATATGAGTCGTTGTATGAGTTGTTATAAGAGCGCGTCAGAGTGGACGTTGCTTGAGGCGTTATGAAGCGGTCACTTCCATTCTTCATGTAACGTCTGTCGATGGAATCTGTGTAGCTACCCAGCGGGGACGTCCCCTCGGGCAAGGGCAAACCATCCGGGCCAAGAGGTACCTGACGCACGGTTCGAGTGGTTACCGTCTTCACCATCTTGGTCACCTGTAMAACAGATTAGATACACCTATCAGACCTTTGGCCGTATCATAAGCTGAAAAATGCATATCTTAAAAAAGAAAACTCAATTTTTATTTTACAAATTACCAAATGTGTTTCAATTTCTGTGAAAACAAAACAAATCTACCCATTTTCATTTTAATGCTTCAAAGTAAAGTTTATTTTGGGGTCTTCTAGTCTGAAGGAGAGCAGCTGTTTTTAATGCTTTACTTTGTTAAGAAACTTTCTGACAAATCAGAATTCAGGTTTTTTCTACAAAACAAGTAAAAACAACTCCAGTGATGCAAACAAGCATATCCATRTTAAGATGTGATATCAATCAAAGGTGTCTGAAATTTTTCACTGGAACAAAACAAGTAGCGTAGTATACGGGAAGATATTCAAACACAACGTTCAGAGCTAAAATGTTTAATGCACACATTAAGTGTGGAAGTGTCAGACTGAGTGTTCTGGTTTGTGTGGTAACAGAGACATCTTGAAATGCGAGTGCTGCTCCAATGGACCTTGAATTCTGAGTGGCCCCAAAGGGAGCAAGGRAACACCCCACTCTGTACCCTTGGGTCTGCAACAACCAGACCAGAATTTATCCATTTTTCATGCRCACTTCTTTCTTTAGCTAAACATTTCTACTTCCTCTGTTGTCTCTGCAGCAAGAGAATCACTCACAACAGCCCAACCACCTCTCTGGGCTCTCTGCCCATAAAGAAACCAATTTGCTGCCCAGTGAATTATGCTGTGGCCAATAATTGGCTATTTTGTCTACTGCTATGAATTCATCTTACAATTAATGAGGTTGATGAAACTTAATCATCATCTGCAGGTGCAGAACTGATGTAATACATGTACTGCCTGTTTAGGTGAGACAGGTTAATTCTCATTTGACAAGAGCTGGCCACCTTTATTAAAACAACAAAAAATAAAAATAAAAAATAAGATAAATTGCTCTTTTCCCATTTCTTCATCTGACGAGTTTAATTTTTAAACCCCTGCTCTCCTAATTGTAAGTTGCTTACTTTAAACTCATCAATCAAAAGCATAATTTCACTTTTAAGCAGCGGTGAGGTATGGCATGTAACAATATCAAAGTACAAGAAAGAATCAACATCTGCCTCACAGGAGGGTACAACATAAAGCATAGAGCAGATATGTGTTTAACACGGTATCCTCATTAACTCAGCTGAAACAAACAGAAATTTACTCTGGCCTCGTTTCTTGATTACACCCTGACTGAGCTAAGTAACAAAGCCCATTTCAGGAACATCAAGGTTCATTTCCATCTTCTAAGTAATTACTGAGTAGTTTGTTTTCAATGTCAACCTGCCTTGACTTTGCACATATAAAATTAGCAGCTCAACTGATTGATTCTCATCAGCTCTGAGATATAGGACTTTTGAAGTAGAAGCTCATTTCTATCTACTTAAATCACTATAATGAACCAGAGCAGCTGTTCTTTTGTCCATTGCAGGTTCTAATGTTACCTGTGAACCCCAAACAAATCCAAACTGGATATCATGATGCGCATGAGGTAATACACTGGTAAACTAAATAATGTTTCATTCAATATACTGATTCCTTATTTTACTGATTTGTTTTATTTATTTATTTGTTTTGGTTAATAATTTTTTGCATAATATCAATCAGTCATTTCAGTTATATATTGTGACAAAGATATGTTGATTTAAGTATGTGCACATAAATGACTGCTTTTCCTTGCACTGCAACAAGTTAAAAAATCTATCTAACTCCTAGCCTGTAAAAACCAGACCCTTGTCCTTCACTTTGCTTCGTACGAGGGTCTGGACTCACGGCTATAGAGAAGTGATTCTTGCAGGAGGRGTGCCCTCTGTTGAAGTGTGTGTGTGAATGTCGCTCTGAAGTAGGCTAAGCTAAGAAGCTAACCGGAAATCACGTGTGCTGTAAACAACCCTACTGTGAGGAGAGAAGTACCAAGCTGAACGAGACGACTGTAAATGAGAGCTGCTGCTTTGACAGACCAATTTATTTTAATTTGGAAGCCTTATCAACACAGACTGGCTTCATTCACTTCCTCCACTGCCGTATGCTAAAATAACTAGCAGACACTGCACAGAAAATCGACGTTCTGTTCTCTGATTGGTTCGGCTAAAATTCTGCCAGGGAAATCCTTGTCTATTGGAGAAATCCCAGATGGCGCAGTGAAGGGAAACTAGAATTGAGCGGAACTGCATAGGAAGGCAAGGGCCAGGCTGTCTAACTCCTTCTGCCACTTAAATATAAATGCAAATTACAAAAAGCTTTCAATAATTCTTCTAGGTGCAACATGAGTTCTTATTTGTTTTATAAGAAAAACACTTTGCAAATTTAGAGTGCAATTTATTACTTTTTTAGTGCATTGACTTTTCATAATATTGCAGAAGAAGAACAGACATCATGGCAAAAAGGATCTTAGAAAAAACCTTAAGCTAGAATTTTACTGGTTTCCCTGTTGACACATTGACAGCAAATTGGTTATAGCTCTCATTAAGGAGTCAGCAAAATGTCTCAAAGCATGCAAGGGTGCCACTGATTCTCAGTGCCGGTGTATTGAGTTGGATGCTGATTGCAGGGAAAGTACCACCTATACTGCTTGTCTTTATATGCTAGCATAAGTATTTTAGGTGCTTAATGGCTATATACACAGGTTTCTGTATAAGCGAATGTAGGCTGCCATGACAGACTGTTGGTTTCGCCTCTCGGTTTCCTATTTCCAGTGCGCAAAGCGAGAACCAGACATTAATTTATTCAAAGTCATTCACTGCTTATAACAATAAAACCAGTTTGTTTTTGCTTTAACTGGCGGCTTGAGCAGTTCGATCACGAGTTTGGTTTCAATTTGTTTTTTTGTCTGCTGCTACAATTGAAGAGAAGAGAAACGCTTTAGAAACATTTTGCCTGGAACAACAAGAAGTAGTYAAGGCATGCCCATGCTCAGTGCCCTACGCACTAGGGTTGGGCAATATTGATAAAAAAAATTAATCACGATTAATTGTGGTATTTAGTCAATAAAGATTAATTTGAAGATTAATCCCCTGGAGTCCCTGGACACCCTTATGTCCTGGTCACATGACCAATTTAGTGGGAAAGATTTGCTCTTCGTAAAAATCTGTTCCAAATTGTGTCAAAATTAAAGTCTTCAGGCTATACATCAAATTTTAAATTGTGTTGAAAGATTAATAAATTACAGAACTTTTTTTTAATGTTCATCATATTTGAAGCGGAGAGGAGCACCCAGCAGACTGTGGTGGCATTAATCGTATTAATCATCAAGTGCCAAAAATAATCGATTAATGTTTTTCTGGCGATTAATTGCACACAATACGATTACGCCCAACCCTACTACACAGCGCATATATGCTGACGAAGGAAGATCATAAACTAACGTGGCTGACAGCTTTTTCTCTTTTCAAATTATTGATAAAAAGCCTATAGATATATACCCCAATTCAGAGCTCTATCTGGCTTAAAACCGGCCACTAAAGGTGGCTCGACTGGACCACTGCGAGTAAGACAGCTTCCAACAATATCAACTAAAACCCCAAATCTGTGCCTGGTGAGTGAAATTGTAAATGTGGTTTGTCCCTGCTTCACTGGCTGTGTCTCAGTTCATGGGGTGGATCCTCATGAGTAGGTAGCCCACCTGGGCCACCTGGGCCACATCCTTCCCATTCTGGGTAGGCTGCATGAAACTGCTGTGAAATGAAACAATCTAGCCTTTGCTTTAAGTTTGCATGACCATGAGCTACTCCATTACTATAGTGATCAGTTTCATATCAGACTTAAAAATGCATTGGGACGTGTTTACATGTCTTTTCACTGGAAGAATAACTTCACAATTAAAATGTTATACAGTATGTAAATAAATAAATTTAAAAAAACATTAATAATTTGGGTTTAGCTCCAGCATCAGTACTTGTAGTAGCACTGTATTTAACATATCCTATTGCAGCATGAATTTTGTCTGTTAAGTTGCTAAACTTACATTTAAAAACAAACTGTGATAAATTTCCAAACTACGCCGACTCAACACTGTAAATAAAAACTCCACTGTATTTGTTTCTCTGTTTAGTTTGCTGTCAGCACAGTGAATCCTGGGATATCCTCAGCTGGGAAGGGTACTCTGATGCACCCTTGATTTTTGACYTTTTGTGGGCCGCATAATGAGGAGCCTTCAAKTTGGGACAGCACTCGGTGCGGGGCAGTGACATACGTGGCCGACAAACGCACTCATGAGGATGCAGCCCATGAATTGAGACACAGACACTATTTCATTGTGCAGTTCTTTGCTTTTACTAAACTAAAGTTTACATGGTGTTAGCATTAGCARTAGCTGWAGTCTTACACTGATTGTTAGCATGTTATCAGCAGCTACATCTCAGTTTTAAAGAAAGAATAAGCCCATGGTTAGTAGCCACATGCTAGCAAAACTATATAAGTGGCCTAATGTATTAATATTCTTTTAAACATTCTTACAGTATATACACGTCTGCTGTGTTGCCATTTACGCCAAACTTCAGTGAAAAATACTTTGATACACAGCAATGGTGTATCCCTGTAACTGTAAACAGAAGCACAAGCAGAAGTATAAAACCAACTTCCGCTATGAATTATGGCCAGTGGTACGAATTCAGAAATACTGTGGATATAATAAAATAGTCTTTTTGTAAGTTCTTCTGCCTRAAGATCTGTGGTTATTCACAGAAACATCCGGAGTGCAACCCCAAATGTCAAGGTCTAACAACACAAATGATAAATAATTGAGGAAATATGCCTACAGTATTTTCATTTCAAATGTGTACTCAAGAAAATTATTCACAAACTTGGGGGCAGCTGCCAATGTGCGTACAAAGCAGGCAAAGGCGGGCACAATATGGGCAACAAAATAAGGTGCACAGTCTAGAATACAGTTCTAAGAGTTGCACACACACAAAAATAGATTTGTATTTTTAAAAACTGGCACAGCTGCTCAA